CATGTTTCAAAAACAGAGCTTCTCAGATAGTATTACAGAGATGCCCAGAGTTGTAAACTTGTCTGGTAAGCCCTGCTTTACTTTTTCCTTGAGTGGTATAGAATGTCCGCCTCATTTTTCAAGTGATTGTCCCTGCACAGCCAATGTCCCACTCATCCAACCTCTTTGGTTCAGATCATAAACATTTAGTTATTTGCCTTTGAGCTCCAAAGTAATCCCCAAAGAAATCCTTAAATGTCAGTGATCATATAAATTATTCATTGATTATCTGTTAAGGCAGAAGTTCCAGAGCCATTCCTTTAATGCCATGTTTGGACAAGGGAAAGCTGTCCCAGATTCAGTCAAATCCCATTGCTTCAGCCACAGTGTGGCAAATACAGAGTTAGTTACAAAGAGAACCAGGTCAGAATATGTGTGTGAGTCAGCACAATTAGAACAATGACCCCAGTGTTGATGGGTCAGCTCCAGGGATTTGGTAGATGTGGGATAGGAGTCTAATGAACTGGCATAGGTTCAGCTCAGTGCAAAGAAGCCCAAGCAATCATTGCATACATAGACATACGCTCTATGTCCTTGAGAAGTTACATGTTATTGCCTGGGGTCCTATGGCTTCTTGGGACCTCTCTCGGTCTTTAACCAGGTTTTCTGTTCACACGTCAGGTGCTGTTCCTAGTGCCTTGCTAGTTGTGTCTGTAGCTGATGTCCCTGGGGTACTGGCAAGGTCCACAGGGTTTGACAGGTCAGTTGAAAGACAAATCTGACCAGCTGAGAAACCATCCTTATCATTCTTTATGTTGCTGCCTCATAAAGGTAGTTCATGGAATTTTCTGGTGCCTTCTGGAAGCTGAGTGCACTTCTCTGCATATTTGTCTCTCAGGAAGAAATGAAGTCACTTAAGAAGTCATTTTGGCTAAGATCAAGGGTAGCATAAGAAGTCATTTCCCCAGTCCCTTATTTATAATCAGCCCCAAAGCATGAAGGAATAACTCCAAAGCAAGATTCCTTTCTGATGAGATGTAAACCAATCTGCAGGGAAATGTGTAACCAGGGAACTGTAATTTCCTGACCCCAAACCATTAAACCTCAGCAGTGCCATCACATTAGCTTGTTTTCATGTAATTGTAAAACACAGTTTTGCCAGTCCAAAGCAATGGGAAATATTTCATTATGCTCTCTTCCTTGCTGTGCAAGAGTGACCACATGCCAAGGCTGAAAAATGGCAAGTGTGTGTCCATGAGTGAGTGAGAATTTGTATTTGTACAAAGGAAGGAGCTGGACTAATGTCTTTAATTACACATCACTATTTCATTTTACTATAGCAGATAGGGTGATAAAGCTTCATGGCCATATTCTTGGATGTAGAAGCTGGGAATAATATATCCTCCTTACTCCCACCCTCCCTAGATTCAAATAGGAAATAATTTTAATTTATATGCATGGAATAGATCTTGCATGGAAGATTCTGGAATAGGTGCTAGGGAGAGGGGACCCAGGCCCAGCTGTTCCTCTCTAGGGCTTAAGTTTCTGAAGATGAAATAGGCACAGAAACAACTTCAGCTCAGAGACAGATGATACAATTGCTGCGTTGCCCACTGAGGCACTGGGTGGTATGGGGAAGAGGAAAGGTGACTGCACCTGAAAGATTCTAGATGGCAACAAGGAGGAGGTAGCAAGTGAGCTGGACCAGGACAAGGGGTGATCATTCAGCTGGTGAAGGGAATGCTATGAAGAAGAAATATTGTGAGCAGGCCTCGAGGGTGAGGGTGTGTAACCCAGCGTGAGGATGGAGGATCTGCAATCACGGGAAAACCAGCCGTATGCACAGGTCTTCTCCGGTGCTGGCTTTCCACTGCCCCAAACAGCAAAACAGCTTCCAGCAAGTGCATGCGGCCTTAGTCCATTCGGACTGCTATAGAGAACACCTTAGGCTATGAAACTTAGCAAACACTAGAAGTTTGTTTCTCACACTTCTAGACTCTGGGAAGTCCAAGAAAAAGGCGTCGGTGGTTTTGTGTCTGATGAGCTTGCTCTCTGCTCAGTAGAAGGTGTCGTGCAGGCAGCAGAAGCCAATGTGCTCTCCTGGGCATCTGTTACCAGGGCACTAATGCCATTCACGAGGGCTCCCTGCTAGCGACCCTATCACCTCCTAAACAGCCTGCCCAAAGCCTTCCACCCAGGCACAAGTGGGATGGTGAGGATCAGCCCCTTCTGCCAGGGAGGCCTCAGCTATGTGCTGATTGGTCCGTGTGGCTTGAGGCTGCTTTCAGGCCTGCTCAGTCCTGCCCCTGAGGGGTTGCAGCCTGGCTCAGGCACTTGGCCTTCCCCCTCTCCCGGACTCCGCTCCTCTGCAGCTCCTGTAGGAGCTCCGGGCTTCTCGGCTGCTCGCTAGCATCACGGGGCTCCCAGCATCCTCCACCAACCCCCAGGTCTCCATCTTAGGCAGTGGTTTTCCAGACTGCCCCAAGCAACGCGAGTGTCCTCAGGACTCAGAACACTGATGTTTCCCCTGGACAGAGGCCTGCGCCCTGCCCTGGGACTGGCAGAGGGGCCTTCTAGGAGGGACCCTGCAACCAGGCTGTTGCCCCTTTAATCATGTTTCCTCTGAGACCCACAAACCCCACCTCGTTCTTTCCCCTGACGCCTCCCAGCCACAAAAGTGCAGTTACTAAATCGCCAGTTCTTAAGTTTGTTTTTACAGAGTTCAACACCAAGCCAGCCTAAAGTAGGTTTACACTAGATTGAGAGGGAGCAGGGAAGTCGCACAGGGACATAAAGGAGGATTATGACCTCAAGGGGGACATCTGGCACCGAAGTTGCCCCTGGGAACCCAGAATTGGAGAATTGAGAAACAGAAGAGCTGGACAGCCTCAGGAAGTGAAAGATCCCAGGGATTACAATGCTCAGGGACTGGACTTGCAGTTCTATACAGCTGGCAACCAGGGTCCACTGCAGTCTGACCCCACAGACACTGATGTGTCTGCAGAGACCCCACTGCAGGGACAGACTGGAGCTTTGCCTTCCGTCTCCTGCCTCTACTGATGGGGAGCCTCGCCCAGTGTGGGAGCTGGGCAGGGCAGTCAGACCCATGTTCTTGGCCCTGCCCTGTGAGTGCAAGAGGACTTGGGAAAGGGCTCCCATCTTAAGCAGCTGGGTAAGATGAGGAATACCAGCAGCCCATCCTGCTCAAGGTAAAGCTGTACCCCTCCTCCCATAGGGAGCTGGGGAACAGAGAGTCTCTGTCTATTTGACCACAATAATTTTTCTGTTGGAAATTTTAAAACTGGGGTACTATTTTTTAGTTTTCATTTTTTTATTTGAAAGGCGGAGTGGGGGAGAGGCACAGACACAAGCAGAGACCTTCTAACAACTTGTCCACTCCCCAAATGGCCATGACAGCCAGGGTAGGTCCAGGCCAAAGTGAGGAGCCAGTAACTGGCCTTCTGACAGGGCTGGCAGGGGCCCAAGTACTTGAGCCATCATCTGCTGCCTCCCAGGGACAGCTTTAGCAGAAAGCTGGAATTGGAAGCAGGGCTGGAATTCAAACCCAGGTGCTCCATCTGAGATTGGATACAGGCTTCTCAAGGGATCTCTTAACCCCTGTGCCAAATGCTAGTCCCTGGGGGGGGAGGAATCTTTTTTTAAATAATTCTTTTTTTTAAAGATTGATTTATTTATTTGAGAGGCTGAGTTGAGAGAGAGAGAGAGAGAGAGAGAGAGAGAGAGAGAGAGAGAGAGAAGAGAAAGAGAAAGAGAAAGAGAAAGAGAAAGAGAAAGAGAAAGAGAAAGAGAAAGAGAAAGAGAAAGAGAAAGATCTTCCATCCACTGGTTCACTCTTATCTAAAGCCAGAAGCCAAGAGTTTCTTCCTGGTATCCCACAAGAGTGCAGGGACCCAAGCACCTGATCCATCTTCTACTGCATTCCCAGGCACATTAGCAGAGAGCTGGATGTGAAGTGGAGCAACCAGGACACGAACTGATGCCCATATGGGATGCCAGTACCGCAGGTAGAGCCTTAACCTACTACACCACAGTGCCAGCCCAAAGAAATCTACCTTTAAAAGCTCTGTTCAGGGGCTAGCACTGTGGTGAAGTGGGTAAAGCAGCTGTCTGCAGTGCCAGCATTCCATATGGGTGCTAGTTCAAGTCCTGGCTGCTCCACTTCTGATCCCGCTCTCTGCTATGGCCTGGGAAAGCAGAAGATGGCCCAAGTCCTTGGGACCCTGCACCCATATGGGAGACCCAGAAGAAGCTCCTGGCTCCTGGCTCCTTGCTTTGGATCAGTGCAGCTCTGGCCGTTGTGGCCAACTGGGGAGTGAACCAGCGGATAGAAGACTCTCTCTGCCTCTCCTTCTCTCTGTGTAACTCTGACTTACAAGTAAATAAATCTTAAAAAAAAAGAAAAGAAAAAAAGCTCTTGGGGGTCCTCTAGACTCACTCAGGCCAATCACCTGATCTCCATGCAGAGTGTGTCAACCCAGTGGGATCACATCAGTTCAGTGGTCCTGGTCTCTTCATTGTGTGAGCCAGACATTCACATACATTTTCATAATTGCAGCTAGTTTCCTGACTTTTTCTGGCTTTATGTATAACCTGTACATATTCACTTCATATTTTACTTAGCATTCATTTTTAAAGCAAAGATTTGATCATCAGTGCAAATAGTCAATTAATACATGTAATAAAGACAAAAATCGTTAAAAATTCCAGCTGGATACTGTAGAAGTCTCTAAATTTATAGTCTGCTCTTTTTTTTTTTTTTTTTTAAAAAAGAGTTATGGTGAATTTTTTATGGTACATGTTTTCAGGTTCTCAGAAAGTTTTATTCTTTTAAAGGTTGTAAAGGTATTGTACAATTACATCAAGAAGTTGTAGATATTGAAAGATAATGTATCTTAGATTGATGAGGTGTTTTTTTTCTGAGAGAGAGAACTATGCACCAGAATAACATTAGCTGCATTTGGTTAGCAATACACCCATGGTATCTCATTTAATATTCCTACCAAGTGTAGGAGGTTGATTGTGTTCCCTTTTTGACGCACGAGAAAACTGGGGCACAAGACTCAGCTGGGCGCAGTCTGGATGCAGCACTCTTAGCCACAATGTCTCCTGTGTGACAGAAACAAAAGCAGGCTGTGGTCATCTGAAAGGCCTCAGGCAGCCTCCTGTGGCCATGTGGGTGGTGCACACCCACGTCCACAGCCACCTCGCAAGAAAGGATCCCCTCCATGCTCAGACACACAAACACGAGGACACGCTGTGCCCTCTCTGCCCCTTTGCAGACTCATCATGCACATCAGCATCTTAAATGGCCTCTGAGTCCTGCAGGAAGGACTTTTCTGCTTTATTTAGTGCATTATTCCCCAAATTCTTGGACCTCAGAGCCCTTTTAAAGAGCAGCAGGTGTTTAGTATCTCAGAAGACGCAAATAGCTTACAGAGCAATGTGGGAAACTAGGCGTTATTCTCATTGCATAGAGCAAAACACATTTCACTCAAAAATATTTCTTGTACATGGATATAAGATAAAGAGGGTGATGCTTCATAGAAGGGCCACATGCAGTAGTAGTGTCACTGACAAGAGTGCACTGAGACGTGAACTGTGCACTGTTAGGTGAACTTTTAATGTTGTACAAATATCATGGAGTGTGCTGACACAAGCAGACTCCAGGATATAACTGGTCACTAGTGGTAGGCTCCTACAGGACTAACATTGTATACATGGGTGGACCATTGCAGACTGGAACAACCTATGTGGTGCATGACTGTATTCTAATATGGTGTGTGTCACCAGGGGAACTGTCTCATGCTCTGCCCACCACACCCCCTTCCCACTCATTGCAAAGTCAAGTTCCACCAGGCAGCCTCCCTCATGGGAGATAGAAACTGTCATAGGAGAAGGAAACCCCAGGCATTTGAATTCAGCACTAGAGCTGCCATCCTGTGTCTGGCACCCTGCTTTCAAAGCTCAGGAAACCTGAAACAGAACAGCTTCGGGTGGGAACAAGATGGGTGATAAATAATGCGTTTCTAGTTGTCATCATCAACATCTGCTTATCTGTGTGACTTGCTCAGCAAGTTTAAAGAACTCAGAGTTGCTTGCCAAAGAAAAACAGAGCCCAAATGGATGATGGATGCTTCCTGAGTGCTCTCCCAAAGGCGGGGACAGCAGTGGCGAAAATCCCGAGTCCTTGGTGTTATCTGGCTACAGCTGTTAGGGCAGTCTCTCCCTGGGAGCCCACCTCTGGCTGCACAACTCCCTTGGAAATGCCAGCCACCCCATGGTTTCTGCTTTTCCCTGGTAATGTGTGTGTGCAGCTAGGACAGTGGGTGGCTCTCCCTAACTGTCTGGAGGTCTTCTTGGTCTGGGGCTACTGCTTCTGCAGCCACAAGCTTCTTCCTCTGCTGTCTTCTCATCTGCAAATCAGGAGCAACAGAGCCTCTGATAGGGTACCTGAGGGGCCCACCCTTTCTGCCTCACACACAGCCCCGGGGGTTGGGGGGCATGGGGTTAGGTAATAGTTACAAGGTGGTGGGGGGTAAGGGGTGTGGTAGGACTTTTGTGAAGAGCCCATGAAAGACAGCTCAGGGAAAAGGGAACTTCAACACTTGCAAATCCACAAGCTGATTTAGAAATCTAGGGGATCAGTGAAGAAAGCATCAAGATTTTTTTTAAAGATTTACTTTTTTATTTGAAAGTCAGAGTTACATAGAGAGTGGAGAGACAGAGAGAAAGGGAGAAAGAGAGAGAGAGAGAGGTCTTCCATCTGATGGCTCACTCCACAACTGGCTGCAATTGCTGGAGCTTCACTGATCTGAACCCAGGAGCCAGGAGCTTCTTCTGGGTCTCCCACATAGGTGCAGGGTCCAAGGACTTGGGCCATCTTCTACTGGTTTCTCAGGCCATAGCAGAGAGTTGGTGGTGTTTGTTGGATTCTAGACTTTGCATTCTTCTTTTCTTGGTATTTTTTCTTTCCCATATACTGGCTTTGGATGGGCTTAGCGTGCCAGCAGTAGCAGCATTTGGGAGGTGAACCAACAGAAGGAAGACTTTTCTCTCTGTCTCTCTCTCTCACTGTCTAACTCTGCTTGTCAAAAACAAAACAAAACAAGACAAAAAAACCAGGGTCTTACTGGTCCAATGAGAGGCTCCGTGTGTACCAGTAACTCAGGAGCAATGTCACTCTCCAATTAGGCAGTCCCCTCTCTGAAGGTCTGCTGACCAGATGTGGGGGGGCTCAAAGTGCTGTGCTACATCTCAGACTGTTCTAGCCAAGATGGAGACTTAACAGTAGAGTTCTTGGCACAATCCAGAATGGATCCCTGATGCTCTTAAGTTACTGAAAGGAATCAGGGTGCCCATGCACTCAGGCTGTTCGAGGAAAGGGAGGGGACCCCTGGTGACTCACAGGCAGGGTGGGGATAATGTCTGAGACCCACATGTCAGGCCCTTGCTCATTGCTGGCAATCTCTCCAGACCCTGGGCTCCTAGACAGATATCTTTTCTTTTTCTGAATCTGAGAAGGCAGATTAAAGAATAAAGAAAGAACAAACAAGACTTGCTGGTGCGGGAAAATGAGATGGGCCCCATCTAGGCAAAGTTCTCATGCAAAGCATTGCACCCAGTGTCAACTAACGCTAGAAGATTAAAACTGTATAAATATAATTTCATTTGCATATTATAAAAATAAAGATAAGCATATACATATTTTACACTAGTTATGGAAAAGCAATGAACATCAGTCGATTCTTCTTTCATATTGAACAGAACTGAAATCTAAGTGCTCGAAATACTGCCAGCTGTACAGAAACTATGGCTTTTATGTACATGGAAAGCAAAATCCCTGAGAAGCCATTTGACTTTTTTTTTCTTGCCTTCAAGTAGTGCTCTCCTTGGGGGATCACAGTTCTGAGGTTCAGGTTGTAAAACATTTGCCCCATAGCTTCTCCCACCCTTTCTCTGCTCCCTCCCTGTCTGGAACACTGCTTCCTTCAAGTTCACAAAACAAGCTCAGGAGTGTGGAGGGCCAGCCAGTGGGCCCGGGAGGTCCTGCTCTGCTCTCTGCTCCACTTAAATTCCACAGCCACAAGAGTCACTGGTTTCTGTGCTTTTCACTAATGTTCTTCCTAGAGAGAAAGCGCAGAGCTGACAAAAGGTAGAAGAGAATGACACTGGGTTATAACAGGAAGTCAGGACAGAAATCTGTGTCCTGCACCAATTTTCATTGCTACTGTCTTTGGAGCTCCTCATAAATGTGCAAATGTTAGGCAACTACTAGGGCCCCCACAAAGGGAGGAAACTTTTTAGTAGTTATTAGTCAAAAAAAAGTGGCAACTACCCTAATTGGCTTATTCTATCATACTTTTATAATCTAACTGGATTTCTAATTAACAGACCCAAATGCTCCACACACATCTGCTTCCTCTCATAAGCAGACATGCACATGCATAGGCACACACCGACTACCCTGCCAGGAATGGCACTGCATACTAGAAATCGAGAATGGGTGTTTATCTGTAGTAAAAAGCACGATTTTACTTAGAAGTGTAATGCATAGGGCTGTCAACTAGAATCTGGAGTTTGACAAACATAAAATGAAGAGACTGCACAGCCTCCACTTGTTGAAACAAGTGGTATTCAATTCCAACAAACCAGCTAGAGGGAAAAGCATCAGCCAGCCCTACCCCTAATAGTGATATGCGACACAAGGTTTTTTCAAGTGTTTTTGCAACATGTAATAAAACACATGAGGACAACCAAAGAAAAGGAAAAGGTGAGGTTATGATCTGTTTCCCTCAAACTCTGCCTCTCTTGATGCTATCCAACTTCACAGACTCCCAGAATTCCACCAGCAGACATCAAATGTCCATCTGGCCCAGGTAAGAATCAGCAATGGGCTCAGCTGAGCCCAGCAACAATGATATCACCAAAAATGAGTCTCTTCCCTCTACTAACTTCATGGCAGGAGTGGTGGCTTTCTCTGGAGTACTTGTATCTAAGTCTTTACTCCAGCTAAGAGTCAATCTTGCTCTGTTTTACTCAGAGGAAACCAAAGTTCCAGGAGGTGATATGACATCCTGAAGGGTGTACCAGTGACAGGCATGGCCAGGCTGACCCTTAACTAGGATCAGACTCCCAAGTATGTCTGATGATTAAAGGCAAAGCTGGGCACGTGGAGCCATAGGGAGAGTAGCATATTTTTCAAAGCACTTGACCATTAAGAACTTTCTGGTGGCCAATTAATATAGCAGACTGCTGGCAGAGGAGGGTTTGAAAAGTCCCTCCGATTGCAGTGACAGTGTGATGAATCCAGCTAGGAGGGCACAGCACTGTGAAGACACATGTCCCCCAATACATTGCACCAAGGTTTGGTTCATGTGGGAGACAGGTCACCTAAATGCCTCTCTCACTGACTTCAAGGAACTCTGGAGGCATCATGTGTGGTTGTCTGCTCCCCCAAGCCACATGTAACACTGAGAAACACAAGGGTACCTAATCAAGGGCACCAAGTGCTTAGCCAGCTTGAACATCTTTCCACACTGATACCCCCACTCTCACTGGGTCCTGAGGGCCATCAAATCCTCTGCCTTCTCAGTCTCTCACTGCTTCTCCATCTCAATAAACTCATCTTGGGACTGCTGTTGTTGTGCAGCAGGCAAAGACACTGCTTGGGATCCCCACAGCCCATAACCCAGTCTCTGGGTCAAGTCCTGGCTACTCAGCATTTCTGATCCAGCGTCCTGTCAGTGTGTCTCTGTGCGGTGACAGATCATGGCCCAAGTTACTCAAGTCCCTGGCCACTAATGTGGGAGACCTGGAAGGAGTTCCTGGCTCCTGGTTTCAGCTTACCTGTCCCAGCCCTGGCTGTTACGCCCATTTGTGGAGTGAACTAGTGGATGGAAGATTGATGGATCAGTTGCTCTCTCTCTCTGTCTTCTATCTCTATCATTCCACCTTTCAAATAAATCAACCTTAAAAAGCAAACACCTCATCTCCATCTTTGAGAATCCACTTCCAAAACTGCTTCCTGGAACTTGGGCTGACTCCTCTTATGGTACTATGCCTACAGGCCCCTGCTGACACCCCCATACAATGTGGCAGAAGAGCCA